GGATAGTCGACCAGTCAGGAGTTTTGAAGTTTGTAATTCAAGTATGTAAAGAGGCTGGAAATGAAAAGAATCTAGTTAGATCAAAACGTGAATTATTTAATATATAGTATTGAGGAAAGAGCTAGACATTTGCAAGTTGTAGATCTAAAACACCAGAGTTACTGGAGCAGAAGAAAAAAAAAAAAAGAAAAGAATAAAAAAAAACAAGGTGGAAAATTTCTTAAGTGATGTGAATGCTTTGTAAACTATAACTTGATCTTAGCCCCAACGATGTCAGAGATAGAACCAAAGAGGATAATCTACTGTGGCGTATGCTCGTACCCACCCGAATTCTGTGAATTTGGCATCTCGTTAACCAAATGCCAACAATGGCTCCATTCCAAACATCCAGAAATCTACGCCAGTCTCTACCCCGACATCGCGCCTGCTGGATCATCATCATCCGAAACTGCCGCAGCATCAGGAGACCAACCAGTATCCACATTGGCTGCTGCTACATCCTCGCTCTCAATCGATCAAAACAACAAGATCCAACAGGATTTAGCCAAGAAGCAACACCGTGAAGAAATCAAACAGCAAAAGGAGCTCGCCAAGAAACTAAGCTCCAAAATCACCATCAAGCGTATTGAGAGAAACAAGAGGAAACATATTATAAGTATATCCGGGTTGGAAGTGTTTAACATCGACTCGAAAAAGTTGGCAAAGACATTTGCGTCCAAGTTCGCCACGGGGGCTAGTGTCACCAAAAATGCCGAGAAGATGGATGAGATTTTGGTCCAGGGTGATGTGAGCGATGAAGCGAAGCTTTATATCGAGGGGTTGTTGAAGGAACAAGGGTTGGAGAATGTCAAGGTTGAGCAAGTTGATGATAAGAAGAAGATCAAGAAGGCTGCTGCTGCTGCTGCCGCTGCTGCTGGGGGTAGTGGAGATAAGGGTGGTAAGTAGATATAGAGTGGTGATGATTGTGTAGATAAGTGTATTGACACGAAGGTTGATGTGAGTTTTTGAGTGTAGAGCACTGGATGTAGTTGCTATTATTCCAATCTGCAAAGATGACCTACTGTAAGAATTAACATAAACGGCTAAAATGAGTCCTAACAAAAGTTACTCAGGTCAAACTCTACTACTAATGGAGATACCTTCCACCAGCTGAGTCCTATATTTCACAGAGTGTGCATTTTTCACAAGGACTTGTGGCGCTTTTCTACATTTTCCGCGATTCGAGTCCTCCCCCGTCAAAATGCGAAAATAAAAAAAATAAAGTTATTTCCTCAGAGTAACATCACAATCATAATTCATTCATTAATAATTACAAAAAGAGAATCTTACACAGTCACAAAGTGGCATAATATGGACTCTACTACGAACCTCAATCACGTAATCAACTTCGATATTGAAACCTTTTCCTCTTCAGAACCAGTAGGCAACTTTATCTTCAGCTTTCCCTTGGCACCAACACTAATGGTTTCCTTTTCCCCGATGCTTAACGAACCGAAATTCGATACTGATCCCAGTTTGGAAATGAAATGCGGGGTAGAAGTTGTGGATTTATTACCATCAACGTGACTCTTATCTACGCTGCTTGCTTCATAGGCTGCTGCACTGGATCGGGGAGTGGAAGTGTTCGACCGTGATTGCGATCGAGTAGGTGACCTAGACCTAGATCTAGAGTATGATGCTGTGCCGGCTTCAGAACGTGCATAAACGCGATCACGATCACGCTCACGCTCACGTTCGTCGTGTCTCTGTCTCTCTTCAATATCACCGTTGTTCTGTTCTTGTGCTTCTTGTGTTTGCTGTTGCTGTTGCTGTTGTTGTTGTTGTGACACTAGATTGGTACCTACAGGAGTAACCCCCATCGATGGCTGTTGTTGCGTCATCTGTGAAATGCTTGGAAGAACGGGTGACTTGCCGTTCCCCGATTTCGATTCATCATCTTTGGATGACGCAGCGTTTGTCATTGATATTGGGGACAATACTGGTGCTGATTTGGCAGCTTGAAATGACTCAGTATCGGATTTGAGTGAGGGTGACACAGATGTTGAGTTTGATTTGGATACATTTATACTGGGGACTGAAATAGGAGCAAGAGGGATTGGTGGTAGCTTTATCTCAGAATTAGAAAACTGTTGCGATTGCTGTTGGGGTTGTTGTGGCTGTTGTGGCTGTTGTTGTGGTTTGATCTGTATGCTTTGTGACGCTAATGTTGCAGCATTTGCAGCTGTAGATATAATTGGAGTAAGTGATGGCAATCTCTGCTGATGCTGCTGCTGCTGCTGTTGTTGTTGTTGTTGTTGTTGTTGTTGTTGCTGATTTCCGTGCAATGGAGACGCTTGAGAAGATGAATCCTGCCCCGAATTTGATAATATTGAAGGAGTTCTGCCGTGTGTTGAGTTTGGAGTTTGTTGGTGTGAAAAGAGGGGTTGAGATAACGGTTGCTGCTGTTGCTGCTGCTGCGTGTGCATTGTTAATGGCACCTGCGAAATTGGGTTGGATTGTTGCGAAACTGGACCAAGACCAGGAGCAGGTACCGCGGAAGTTGGCGCGTACACAACGGCACCAGTGCTGGTCAATACTGGAACTAGAGGAATTGGTCCTTGTGGGGACTGCATAACGGCTGTTGAAGGCATAGCCGTTGAATGTCCCATCTGTTGTTGTTGTTGTTGTTGCATAGGGATGTATGAGCCACCATTGGCCATGATCATCTGTGGTGCAGATGCTTGTGCAACACCCGACGGTGCAAGGATTGTTCCATGCTCAGTTTGTTGTTGAACAAGTTGGGGTCCCTCTCGCAACAGGGTATGTTGTTGAGGATCCTGTTCCTCATTACCGAATTTCCCACCTTCCAATCTCTCTTGCCTCATACTTTGATTATACTGAGCCATTCTCAAGGCATTTCTGGCACCATTGTCCAAGTTCAAATAAGCACAATGTAGTTTCCCTTTCAAGCAGTTGAGACATGACGGCAATGTTTCATCACATTTTATCCTTCTCTTTTTGCAAGTACCACATCCAAGGTGCGAATTACGATGCTTTCGGCGTGAGTTTCTTTTTTTCTTTGACGATGATATATCCTGTTTTAGTTGAGCTTGCAGCTGGTCATGATTAACTCGCTCTTCGGGTGTGTTCACTAGTAAAGGTGATTTATTATGGTGGATGTTTGTTACCGAGCTGCTCGATCCATATCCGCGATCTAGTTGCATGCCTCCTTGTGTGGTTGATATTTGAAGTAGTTGCTGCTGAGAAAATTGTGTTGGAACAGCATGTGGTGGTGGTGGTGGTGGCGGATACTGCAGTTGTTGGAAAACATGTTGTTGCTGTGTGGGGAATGAAGCAGGCATACCGGTCGCTAAATACTGTTGCAGATGGATGGGTGCTGGTAAAGGCTGAATCGGATGCAGGAGTCTAGGCTCTTGACGCAACTGACTAATACTAGGTACACCGGGAATAAATGAGACTTTGTGCTCGCTATCATCTATCAGCGACGACTTCAGACGTGATCCTGTTCTTTTAGGCGGATCGGGGTTCTTCAATGCTCTTTCGTATACATCCATCATCAATGCTTAGTAACGTAGAAAACTGCGGAATGGAATCGATTACCAAAAGTATAGGACTGAGGTTATCTGTATGCAATTACAAACGATGATGTAGTTGATTCTATGCTTCCTTGTATGAAGTCTATCCACCGCTTACTTTTTTGCTATTGGATGTATCTGTAAAGAAGGGATATGTGGACGTTGACTTTGAAGTGTAAAATTTCTATATCACTGTTTCAGTTCTTCGTATGACATGAATAAGCAAAAGCTCACCAAAAGCACAAAAACTGTTGTGTAAATATTTCCTTTGGGTGAATTTTTTTATTTTTATTTTTTATTTTTTATTATTCTTTTTTTTTTTTACACTGGAGAAGTAATACAAAAAAACAATGACGTAGGTGTTTTATTCTTCCGTATTTTAAGCCGACAAACTCTGTTGTTCTTTTTTTTTTGCTTTCGTTCGAGGAGATTGGGCACTTCGCTGGTTCTGGCTCATTCATAGTGTTCTTCAGAGCATCATGGTATAACAACGTCTACACTGACCTACTCAAAACAAATAAACCACTTCACGTAGGCGTAACGGTTGTCCTCTCTTCTACTGTTCAGGTACACGAACACAATTTACGGGAAAATTTTTTATTTTTAAATTTTAATTTTCGCTCTTTAGAAAACATCGCCCAGATTTGATGACAATAGAAATTTGTTTTTTATTTTTTTTTTTTTCTCTGTTTACGAACAAAGGAACTTTTAGTTAAAGCAACACACAAAAACCCGTACAGTAATCTTATAATTGTAAATTTCCAATTTCTCTGCATCACTCTGCCCCAATATACTAAATCAAAGCTATTTCTATGTTTAGATAGAGAAGTATTTTTTATTTTATGGAATAGGAAAGCACATGCAATATTTGAAATTCCACATTACTTAGACACAGGGCACATCACTGGAATACTCCACTCTTGGGTTGATCAGTATACGTTTTTTTTTTATTGTTTCGGGAACATCCGATGGATTCCTAACCGGATAAAGAAAGAAAGAAAAAAAAAAAATTAAAGAAAAAAGAGCAAACTTGAAAATAATAGTTCAAGGCGAAGTGTACCACCAGCAAGGCTTACGCTCGTTGCATAGCATTACGTGAGGAGTTTGATTTTACGCTATTCAGTCGTATTGTGCTATGTATACGACAGTTTTGTAAACTAAAATAAGTTTTTCTTTTTTTTTGTTTGTTTGTTTGCACATTCACATTCCTCGTCAAAGATGGTGTTCTTTTGAAATTTGTCGGACAGCAACCGTTCGCATGCATGCATGCGTGCATAAAATTCTTGTTCAAAACAATGAGTTGCTGCCAAAGAGGTACAACGTGTAATTGTTTCGCTTTGTTTGATTTGTTTGTACATTGCAGTAAAAAGGTAAGGCAGCAATGATCTGCAAAAAAAAAATTGCTGTCCCGTATTGTTGTCTCAAACGAAACTATGAGAGGTAGTGCACACTTGCACAAAATTTTCACTCTATTGTTCTACCTCTTGCAGTTGATTATTTTTTATTTTTTTTTTTTTCCTTCCTTCTGTTCTTCCTTGATCCGCGTCCCCCCTGAAAAAGACGAGAATGAAAGAGAAGAAAACAAAAATAAAATCTGGAGCATATTATATATACTGCCTTGCTCTTATTTTTTTTCTCTGTTTAGATCACCTTTCGTAAAAGGAAAAGTGACATCGCAAATCAGAGTAAGATCACCTTATATTGGAATGATTTGCGAGTAACCAACGGGAGGTACACATTGTCGTCAACAAGACTGCAGAATGTCTTGCTCGAAAGGGGACAACGGAATTGCCGAATTTTAATAAATTGTGCAGCAGCGGAGAATACGAGTGAGAGGATATGAGACATAGCCACAACCTACACAAACATTCACACACTTACGACAATACAAAAGAGAAATTTCTTTTTTTCCAAGACCACAAAATCAGTGCGGATTTATAGCCCTACTTTCCCTTTGGTTATTTATCTTGGCTGTGTAAACAAAATTGCACAGTCACTATCATGTTTATTCTATATAGCCAGAACTTTCAGACTCTTCTAACTGTCCTTTTTCCCTTTTCAACTGGCCAAGATAGGCTGCACAATCACCTTCGAGAACATACTGCTGAAATCTGCCAACCTGCATAATAGCAATTTTTAAGCTCTGTTTGTGTGACTAAAATTTAACCGCTATGCAAATGTAACCATGTTGCAATGCAGTATTAGCAAACGATGCATCTTCGCCTAAAGGAAAATAAAGTTTATCAAATTGAAAAAGAAAAAAAAAAATAATCCGGATAATCGTAATAGTAAAAGAAATAGCTCGGATCGGAAATGATCATCTTCTGGGCTATTGAGGACTATGTCGTGTACTATCAGATTATTGTGTCTTACACTAACCAATTAGACAATAGTATGGGTGTTCTTAACTAGATGCTGGTTGGGGGGAAGGGGGGGGGAGGAGAGAGAATAGTTACACCACGTAAAATGGGGACTCAACTCGAAACAACTACTTTGGCTATAATTTCAGGCAAGTTACTAACCAAGTCAATTACTCTACAAGTTAGCAAGTGACGCAAGAGAGAACCCATCTGGTCCACATAAGCCGGGCCAAAACTTATGCGCACCGGCGAAACCACGTAACACTTTTGTGCTGCAACAAGCCCTTGAATTCGTATTGCTCATCTCTCGTATATGCGTGCTAACCGGCTTTAGGACTAGTACACGACAATTTATTTTTTTTTTTAGGGAAATTCTTTGTGCAGACTCAATTCACATCTGCATTCCACAAGTACCTGTAAAGCCTCAAACTACTCAACTGTGGTAGTGCTAGCAGAACCTGGAACTCTGTGCTCTTAAAATATTTGCAGTTTCAGCTGATGCAACGGGGATTGAAGGTTCCATGATCGCAAGGGCTTCTAGCTTTTGTGCTGCAAACAAAGTTCATCACATTCTTATTTCTCTCCATGGTTGAGAGTTGCAAATTGAGGGCAATACACAAGAGTGACTCTCTGTTTCGAGATCTAGTATGTTAATCTGCAACTTTCGCTGAGCAACTGCTGCAAAGTGGGCCCGTCGAAAGCCTCTGTGTAGGATGTGAGAAAAAAAACAAAAATTAATTGATGTGCAAACACACAGACTCTTTCTTGCGATGATCTCATGCATTATCGGTACAACATCGTAAACAAGTTAGCACAACATATCATATTCATTCGACGCCACGTTATGACGAGTATACCGAAAAGTCCAACTTCGAGCAAAATAGACACTGTTTCGCCACTACAGCTGCCCTCACTGCATCCTCCCCATCAATCCCCTCCTCTTTCTCCAATACAACAGGTCCAACATGAAGACAGCGAACAAAAGTTGGATACCGATCAACAGCAACCGTCACAACAGACTCCACTGCAAACTAAAAAAAGAAAACCACAAACTGCTGAAGAGTATGCACATCAACTAGATCTTTGGAGGTCCTCGGGACCCCAAATCAATACAGAGTCGTGGCTCTACGAAGATGTGGAAAAGCTCAACCCAATTGAGAGTAAAGTCGATAGTGCAAAATTGCTTCACGCTTGCGAAAAAGCCTATTACTTACGAGATTGGGAAAAATGTTTACTGTTGTGCAACTTGGGAGCTCGTTTATTCGACGTTGATTTGGATGAAGTGGGAGATGCAATGAAACAGGATTTACAACTGACTAGTAGGCGGAAACGTTTGGGCAAGAAACATGAGAGAAGTGTTGTTGATTTGTATGATATTAAGCAGAGGTGTTTGAGTCGAATGAAGGTGGAGCAGCAATGAGCTGGTATGAAAATTTAACTTGCAAGGCGTGTAATGTCTTGAAGAGCTTGCTGGGGGTGGGGGCAAAGGTTAGAAAGAGTAAGTCCATTCCGCTTTCGCTTTTCTTTTCTTTCTCCTGCCGTAGTTTCTTAGTATCACTATATGTACATATTTAATCTGCAAAATTCAGCATCTGTCATCGTCTTTAATCTGTACTCCTGTCTCCATGAAGTTCAAAACCAAAATCTCTCACAAAATATAAAAAAAAAAAATTTGAACAAACTGAAATCTACACAGCAACATTTACCAATTAATCAGATAGTAACAACATCACCATCACCATCACCATCACCATGGATAGTAAGTCGTTAGAAATAATATCACAGTTTAAAGATGCCCTTGCAGCAAGAAGTAAAGTTGATGGCACACTAGTCAACACCTCAACGAAAACAACTTCATCATCAGGAGGCAACGATACTCTTCCTACATACAATCGAGGTCTCAAACTAAACTTCCAACATCCATCACTAGACGCTCTCAATGCAAAATCAGTAGAGTACAATGGTGATAAATTTACCGTGTTGACTAACCATTCGATTGAACGTGGTAATTTAAGGAACAAGAGGAAATGGAGCCAGTTTTATCGTGACAGCAATGAGGAAAACCCCGAGGGAGATGACGAAGAGGACGAAGAGGACGACGCAGTGTGGTCAGAAGACGATCTTGACGAAGAGGACGAGATACACCCTTTGACAGAGTCTCGTATAATTGAACTATTATCTCCAATCAATCATCCCCTGGAACTCGTTACTCACCCAGCCATTTCCAAAACGTACCAACTGCAAACTCTAAACAAATTGGCAATGGAGTTGATTGAGTTGATTGAGTTTGAGCAGAACAATCTCAACTGGTTGAACAAGTTGCTTCAAGTGTTGAATGGTGAAGATTGGTTTTATTTGTTGGAGGAAAACATTGGATTAAGAGATTATGATCATGGATTGGATGAGGACAAGAAGAAGACAATTGCGAAAAAGAAGGAAAAACTTCTGAGTGGATCTGCCAAAACCAATGATTCGAATCGGTTAATGAGCGAAGAAGAAGAGCAAGCTGATCCATTTTTCGCATTGCCAACGGCAGTAAGGAGATTTGAAGCGTTTCAGGAACAATTGGATTCTAAGGATGAAACGGGTGTCAAAGAAGAGCTCATCAACTACCTACAAGTGAGTATCCAGAGACAGCATGAGTATATTGAAAACCTAACTCAATTGAGAAATGGCTTAGTGCGGGCAGACCGATTAAAGAATGATCTTTACAATTGGGGACAGGAAATGCACGATAAGAAAAGCTCGTAAAGAGGAAGATATACATATACAGTTTAGTGTGTAACGTAATACTACAGCGTTCCTTGATTCAAAAACTTCTCGCTAACCATTGAAATGATCTATATATTTTACTCATCTTCGTCGAATTTCGGTGCCAAGTAGAATCTCAAGTATCCACCAACATCCAATTTGAATTCAAACAAGGCGGGAGTCTTGTCAGCGAGTTTAACCGTGATTGTGCTCGACAAACTTGAAGCTTTAATAATATCATTCAAATACTTCAAACCAAAAGTCAAATCAACAGGGTTATCCAAATGAACACTAACACTTTCTTCAGGTCTGTCCATATCGGTGTATGGCTTCAACACCACGCTTCCGGTACCAGTTTCACCTTCACTTGTGAACTTGACAGAGTCCTTAGTGACAATGATGTTCAACGACTCACTCAAGTTTTTCAAATCCCGAACAATCTTGGCAAATTCAGAACTTGGCATATTGATAACAGTATCGTACTCCATGTCATCAATTTTCAAAAATTCCGAATCGATATTCATCAACTTCAAACTATACTCACTAACCCTCTCTCTTTTCTTATCTTCAAAAATCGTCATAACACTATCAGGACTGTCTTCAGCCAACAATGTCAAGTAATCTTCATTTTGACCACACTTGATAATCTTGCTAAAACTCTCCAAATCTATTCCCAAAGTAACATCTCTATCGCATCTGTATTCGCTAAATGCAGTTTGTCCGACTAATAAAGAAACCAACAACACACGCGAGTCGTCGACTGCTTGCACGGTGATTCCGTGTTCGGTACAGTTGAAATTACACAACTTGACACAATCCTTGATTGAGTCAACAATCTTCTTTAACAAGGTGGATTCATCGAATTTACCTTCCAACATGATGGTGATTATTAATTATGCGTTTATCTAAATGTGATTGGCCTTTTGAGCTCGTGGTTGATGGATTGGAAAGAAGGGAAAGGTGAAATGAAATGAAAAAAAAGGAAAAAGAAAAAAAAAAATCAAACTGGGACGTGGATGTTTTATTGTTGTTGACGCGTCATGCAAAAATCTTTTTCTTGATTATACAAAGCGCGTCGTGGAGGGAGAGAGACAGAGAGAAAGAGTAGAGACACAAGAGTAGACAGCGCGATGTAAATGAATACTACACATCAAACGAATGGGCATGCATGGTTGAACCCACTATAAGATCAGACACAATAGTAATGCATTGTGATATGTACAAATCTAAACGGAGAAACGCCAACTCTGTACGCTCTGAATATGGCGGCAATCCACGTCACATTAGTTACATTTACATACATACGTGCAGATTCACGATGAACGCATGTGAATGTTCAAAACAGCGGCATACATGGGGTGTCCACATGTCATCATTGTCCTCGGGAGGGGGAGGGGGACCAGTACACCTATGGAAAACACGTCCTATAAGAAATTATGCCCATGCATGCAAAAACACTTCAAGATACTGAATCACTGTTGAATTGCCGGTAGGAAGGCAATTCGAGTGTGTGATTTGTCACTCAACGGTAAAATGAGTCTGTATGCGTCATGTGTGTTCAAATAATACCGGTACAATCGTTTTGTTCGTAGGAATCCCAAACTCTCATACAAATTCAAAGCACCATTGTTGATCACCTCTGTTTCCAACATGATCTCGTCGGCATCAGCTTTAATCATCTTGTCGATTGTCAATTTCACCAAGTTGCTTGCAATGCCCCTTTTCCTGTAATTGGGGTCAATTACCAACATACCAATGTACCCCCTCAATCGCACTCCTCTGTGCGGTTCAAGTTTTGAGATGATGACGCCGATGATGTGGTTTTCATGTTTAACTGTAAAGCAGTATTGGGGCCAGTTGTTCAAAAAGTACCAATACACATATATCGAGTAAGGTTCTGACAAGTGCATTGAAATCAAGTCTGAGATGCGTTTGAACTCATCTTGGTTTTTGATGTCAAATTGGTGGTAAGGGAACCCGTCGATAGTGGCTAAGGGTGTTGTTGACATTTAGTCGAAATCGGTTGCTATACTTTCAGGGCCGCTGGCTAAACACCCGCTGAGCTCTTTATTTTTTTTTTTTTTTTTTTCGTTCTTTTTCGTTTTTTTTTTTTCTATTTCGATTCTACGTTGTGGGGCATCATCCTGGAAAGCGTCTGATCCAGCACTGTCTGCCAATGCCAGTCGTCAAGATTACATCTGATACAGCAGGAGCTACATGCTCAAGTTCACCTTGTTGCACCCCACTGCTGCATCTCATCTGTAAGAGTGTCAAAATCCTTTATTTCTTATAAAAAAAAAGAAATCACGTGATTGCTATATGCAGGAGCACCTGTGAAATGGACGAACGGGTATGGGTTGCAGAATCCCGGTCATACTCGGGAGTTTCTTCACCACGGTACAAACACTCCTTTTCCCCAGGTTTCGGCGAACGAGTGTTTGAGCTTTGGCAGGTAAATTTGGGAAACTACTCTACAGTGTAGTACTTCGGGAAGGTTAATGGTTACATCATAGGGCCCATCCCACCCGTTCCTTCATATAGTGTGTGGTCTTCAGTGAAAAATCTCTGATGTCATTTTGTCTCTCTCTTCTCTGTACGGGGCAGTGAAACCCATGAAATCCATCAAAGAAAATGGAATCAATCACACAAAGCAAACAAAGCGAGCAGTTGCTTTCAGATTTGTCAATAGTACACGACTTCTCCGAAAAACAGACTACCACTGCCAACTACAAAAGAGACTGTGTTCACTCGAAAAGAGGAGCAATTATAATTGAGCAGCCAGGCCACACAACCAGTTGAATAAACACAAATGCGTATAGAGTAGACAACACTACTGGTTATCCAATTAGATCTTTAACCTTTATCCTCCCAAATGTGTCTGTAGCATTCAATCAACCGGACAACTGTAGTTATCTCCACTAGTATCTTGTGTAAAACGTGTGATTCTGAGTGAGTTGTATATATATATGTATTTATTTATTTATTTATTTTTATTATTATTTTTTTTTTTTGCTGTTCACTTGTTTTAGTGTAACAATAAATTCCTGCACCAAAGTAGAATCAGCGATTCCCTATAAATGCAGTTCAATTTTCACCCACCTTGAAAAAAACAAAAAAAAGCAAAAATTAAAATCATTCTGATTTGTTCCTTTCTTTCATATCAATTGAATTTATATTCACTCAGCTCAGAACTAGATACAGTACAATTACAATGGCTCCTCCAGCAGTATTAAAGAAATCCGGTGTCATCTACGGTAAGGATGTCAAAGACTTGTTTGACTATGCTCAAGAAAAAGGTTTCGCCATTCCAGCTATCAATGTCACCTCATCGTCGACTGTTGTTGCTGCTTTAGAAGCCGCTAGAGACAACAAAGCACCAATCATCTTGCAAACTTCTCAAGGTGGTGCTGCTTACTTTGCCGGTAAGGGTGTCGACAACAAGAACCAAGAGGCTTCCATCACTGGTGCCATTGCTGCTGCTCACTACATCAGAGCCGTTGCTCCAATCTATGGTGTTCCAGTTGTTTTGCACACTGACCACTGTGCCCAGAAATTGTTGCCATGGTTTGACGGAATGTTGAAGGCTGACGAAGAATTCTTTGCTGAACACGGTACTCCATTGTTCTCATCTCATATGTTGGATCTTTCCGAAGAATCCGATGAAGAAAACATTGGTACTTGTGCCAAATACTTTGAAAAGATGGCCAAGATGGGCCAATGGTTGGAAATGGAAATTGGTATCACTGGTGGTGAAGAAGATGGTGTTAACAACGAACACGTCCAAAAGGAATCATTATACACCTTGCCAGAAACTGTATTCAAGGTGTACGAATCATTGTCAAAGATTTCACCAAACTTCTCCATTGCCGCTGCATTCGGTAACGTGCATGGTGTCTACAAACCAGGTAATGTTCAATTGAAGCCAGAAATCTTGGGTGAACATCAAGAATACGCCAAGAAGCAAATTGGTACCGACAACAAACACCCATTGTACTTGGTTTTCCACGGTGGTTCTGGCTCTTCTCAAAAGGAGTTCGATACTGCCATCAAGAATGGTGTTGTCAAGGTCAACTTGGACACTGACTGTCAATACGCCTACTTGGAAGGTATCAGGGATTACATCTTGAAGAAGCAAGACTACTTGAAGACCCCAGTTGGTAACCCAGAGGGTGAAGACAAGCCAAACAAGAAATACTTTGACCCAAGAGTCTGGGTCAGAGAAGGTGAAAAGACCATGTCAAAGAGAATTACTGAAGCTTTGGAAATTTTCCACACCAAGGACCAATTGTAGATTGCCCAATTTTATATTGAAAGTATAGCTCTTATAAATAAATAAACAGAAAAACAATATTTGCTAAAGAAACAATGAGACATTTGAGTTTTCTCCCTCCTATATACATGTAATTGCATCATATCCTCCCGCTGAGTATACTCTGGACCTTTTTGTACTCTGGCATATTATTGAACGGGTCTAGTCTTTGATTTTGGAAATGTTGTCCAACAACAAGATTGGCCTTGACGTATTTGGAAACGCACCTATCGATGCATTCTGATTCACCTTTTGTCAATTCTCCTTCCCCATACTCGCGAAGTAGACATTTGGATTCACATGTTTGTAACAATTTATTGAATGTGTGGGCCGTGGCTGAAAACTGTATATCTGCCAATTTGATCTTCTCTGGGTCAACAGAGGCATGTGAATATTGGGATGTTGAGCCGAGGAAGACTGACATAATCTCTCAACTTGACAGGTTTAGATGCTCTTGTAGTGGTGGGAAATCAACTATTTTTCACCAATTTTTTTTTTCTTGTTTCCTCTTCATCACCAAGCATTTGCGTTCAAATTAAAAAAAAAAAAAAAAAAAAAAAAAAAAAAAAAAAAAAAAAAAAAAAAAA